CCAGTTTTCCCTCCTGTCCACACCCACAAGATGTATAGTTCATATTGCACACAGTGTCTAGTGAATACCACTGCTGCAGCTGTTCATCCTTTATCCCACCTTTTTTGTGCCCCCTTTATCCTCCTAAAGAAAAACAAATGAAACAAAAGGAAAAGACAAAACAAACAGCAACTACAACCAAAAAAATCTCGTTTCCATTTCTCGGAGTTCATTTTGTGAAGTATTATTTTTATGATCATATGCACATAGCTATTGAGCCTTGGTGATCTGTTGCTATTAATATCTTCCTTTGGTCTCATGCAGTGAGACCAAAGAGCTTTGTCTCTTTTATCTTTCTTTTGCTTCACGCAAAAATCTTTTTGAAATCCTAATCCACTTCTGCTATTTTTCTTTTTCACATAACTACCTTAGGACAGTTGGTATTCCTGCTCCCAAACTCCCATATGCATGGCACCTTCTTTACTATCAATTCTAATGACCACTTCTTCCTTGGACCCTGATATTCTTCTGTTTCTCCAATGTCTATGATTCAACTTTAAAATCATTTTCTGGTCTTTCTTGCTCCAAAAATTTGCATGCCTCTATCCTTTCTGTCCTGAGCTACTCACTTTACTCCAAAAATATTTCCAAAACTATTGGCCAGCCAGGTCCTTATATTATTAAACCTTCTTGCATATTATTCTCTCTGCCTAGAGTTCTTTCTCTTCTTGTCTGAAGACTACTTTTCCTGAACATCCACTGACTTTCTGAAACACTTCATTTCATTCTACTTCCCCAATCCCTTTGTCCTGAATCAGGCCTTTTGTTACTCCAATGTAGAAATAGATCTCAATTTCATTTTCTTTTTTGGCTTAAAGAATAGATATTTTTTTCTGCTCCCCAGCCCTCTGTATATTTTTTATGTTTTTATTGTAAAAATACTGTACAGAGGGGTTAAAGTTACATGAGCAAGGTAATGAGTACATTTCTTATCATGCATTGTTGCCTCCTCCTTTGTTTTTCTCCTACCATCCCTTCCCACCTCACCTCCCCAATTCCTCTCTTCCCTACCTCAAGTTGTAAAGTTCATTTTCAGCGTAGTATCTTGTACATCTCATTGTTACAATGGTTCAACCTGTATCCTTTTTTCAGCATTTTGTTATTTCCCTTCCCCTCCCCAATTTAGAAAACTGTATATACAAGATGCAGGGCACCGGAATCAAATACCATGGAGGAAGAGCATACAAAAGAAACAAAAAGTCACATAGTACAATTAAAATACGTTAAAAACAATAGCGAACAAGAAAAAAAGAGTTGTGTTGTTCATCTCAGATGATGATAACTCATGTGGCTCCTGTCACCCAGTTATCTGACCCTGGCTTATAATAATCGTTACCATGTAAATATACTTTCTGAATCTTATTTAGTACTCTGTTAATATTATTTAACGTGCACAAGATTAACTTTTATCTCCAGGAGAAAGTCTTAATTAAAATACATGAACAATGTAATGATGGACTAATCATGGTTATGTAAATCCAATAAGAAAAATCAACAGCCTACTCACAAATACTTCACAAGACAGTTGAGATGATTAAAAATAATAAGTCTGAAAGTTCTTCAAAAGCTGTTAGGCTCAAGATATGTGAATTAGTAAATAGAAGGTAAATCTTCATTCTAATATTGATGTATTACACACCAAGATCTTTATTCAGAACACTAAAGAAAGATAAAAAGAGAGTGCAAAAGAGAAGAGCATGTCATAATGGAAGAAGCAAGAACTAGAAATAAAACCTTGGTGTCAGTTCCTGTTAGGCCACACCTGTGATCCTATGAAAACCACTTGACCTGTCCAGATCTCCTCTTTTGATTTGATAATTAAAGGGTAGTCAAGCATGTTAAAATTCTTTCCCATCTTTAACAATCCAAGATTTGATAATCAGTGGAAAGAAAGGGGAGACTCAATATAAATCATATAATGTTTCACTATTTTTGTTAACATCTTTCAATTGTCATGCCCCTTGTTGTTTCCATTGTTTTAATTTGTCAAATCCCCAAAACCCAATTTAAGCCAAATACCTTCCTAATCCACCCCCAAGAAGCAAATACTGGCCAAAAAAAAATCACAGGGAAAAGATATCTGTTTTTACCCTCTTACATTCATCATCTCAAACATTAAATTGTAACTCAGTACTGCTTAGCAGTCATAAAATTTTTTCTAGTAAGAAATAGCTTTCTCATTTTTAGATATGACAGGTTCCTACTTTTCCTCCACCATTGAACATCCCACCCCTTCCCTCATTGTTTTTTTCCTCTTCTGCAGTTATGATTTTATTGTTTTCATTGTGCTTTATGGTGTATATTCTTCATAGAAACGACCAAGGAGTACCTAAGGCTATACAAGAAAATATAATCTTTTAAACTAAATACACATTCTGACTTAAATTAACAGCAGACTCTTAAATGAACACTTATGGCCTACGGGGGGATGGCTCAGATAGTAGAGTGCTTACCTGGGAAGCATAAGGGTCTGAATTCAAACCTCCAATACTACCAAAAATATTAACACTTATAATCTAGTTTATGTATATTTTTGAACCCCTTTCAAAGCATTTCCAGTCAGACTTATGGATGCCTTCACCTATGACTTCTATGAAAGCATTAATGTTACTTTGCTGTAATCTTTTCATTTAGGCATTCCTTCAAAAATAGGAGATAAAGGGAAAGAAAACCACCTTTAGTTCTTTTGGGCCCATCTCGAGGGAGAGAGACAGGAATTGTGAATTGCACAGGTGTGCATTAGATTGGAGCTCTAAGCATGCTAGCCAGAAGGGGAAGAAAGAGCACTCTGTCAGGAAGATAGAGTCCTCTCGAGGAAATAAGATGAGGTAAGTGTCAGTAGACTAGAGTATATTGAGCAAGCTGAGACAGAAAGTGGGCTGTGACTTCCTTACTAAAAAGTCTGTGTCTTGGAGACATTTTCCTATCTGTGTCTATACAGCATCACATCTGTATAACTTGTCTTTCACACATGAAAGCTCTACACAAAGAGATTGTGCAAGGAATGAGCAGGATTGGAAAATTAAATAGATGCTGTGCTACAGGCATTAAAGATGTGTATGTCTACATGAGCCTTTGTGTATGAGAAAGAGATCTAGATACACCAACACTGAAGTGGTGCTGAATCCTTCTCTGACTTTTACAGGATGATCTCTTCTCATACTTTACTGAGAAAAATAGAAGCCACTGACCCACACTCTGTCAGCTTCTCAGGTTTAAATGAAGCAACCTACCTGCAACAATCTTCTCAGGTCTTTATGCTGAAAATAAATGAAGCGTACCGACATTTATCAAAAGTTAACCTCTCTACTTGTACTCTGTACTCCATTCCCTCTTGCTTTCTAAATGACTTCACTCCCCCAAATTAGATCCTCATTACTTATGCAGCATCAGTATGTCCACTATGCTGGATCATTCTCTTTGGCATAAATAATTCTCAATTTTCATTTTTCAGTAAATACCCCATTTCTCTGCTACATTTGATCAATTATCCGTGTAATCTAATATAAGAAACCTTTTTTCATTTTCCTCTTAATCTCACCACAGCTTTTTAATACCATCAACAGTCCTGTTAAAATATGTATTCGGCTATTATATATCTTCTTGGTTATCAATCCTACCTTATTTATTCCTCCTTGTAAAGCTTCTCTTCTGGCTTGTCCTCCCATGTTGGGGCTAAAGAAAAGAGACAGAGAGTAAAATCTTAGTGTAGGGCAGTCTTCTGTATAATCTCTGTGAATTATGTCATCTGTGTGTGCTTCTATAAACGTTATTTACAATTGCATGACTTCAAAATGTATATCCAAGTCCAGTCTTTTCTTCTGGGAAAATAATAGTGTATTTCTATACAGAATTCTCATAGACATTTCAGACTAAACTTAGGTTTCCCCTAAACTTTTCCTCCACACAATATTTTCACTATGTAAGTAGATGGTATCATTTACTCAAATCACAAACTCTTAAGTCATTTTTGGTAGTTTACTTTTCCTACTCCTCATATCTAATATGTCAGTGAGTCCTGATATTTCTACCTTCCGGAAGTATCTTGAACCTGTCTTCTCTCTCCATCAATACCTTAGACAAGTATCACATATTCTCTACCGGATCCACTGACTTTCTTAACCTACTGTGTCCATGAAGTTCTCCTTTTAGTTTATTTATTACATGATATCAAAACAATTTAAAGTATATATTAGATAACATTGTTGCTCAACACCATCCTGTGTATTTAGTAATTAAAAACAAATTCCTTAGCATTGTCTTAAGTATGTGGATGATTTTTTCTTCTTCCTTCTTTCTTTCCTTCTTCTCTTGCTCTCCCTCCCTCCTTTTCCCCCTTTTCCCTTCCTTCCTTCCTTCCTTCCCTCCTCCCTTCCTTCCTCCTTTGCTAACTTCTTCCCTCTCTCCTTCCCTTCCTTCCTCTTTCTCTCTCTCTTGTCCTCACCATATACACACAAATTGTGACTCCACTACTAACATTGGGAGATCTTGCTAATAATTTTTAAGGGCTAGACATCTTTTGCATGAATGAATTTATAAAATAAGAAACAGACATGATGGTACATTTTAGTCAATTTACACATAAATTACTAAGCTTATTCATTGTAGATAACTCTACCAACATAGTAGAATGCAGTAAAGAATTTCAAGGTTGGACATTTCTTCTGTTTTCAAAATAAATATTGGTGAAAGCTTGTATATTTTGTGGCATAGTAACAATTTCAAGAACCTATACATTCTAAATACAATTGAAGTCATGGATTAACTTTCCAAATGGTTCCTTAGAGACTAAAGTCAAATATATACATTAAGTTGACAAATACTAATCTAGAAAACGTTAATTATGCTTGATACATATGAAGTCTCTGAGCAGTTTTTTCCTAAAATATGATGTTTTTTATTTTTAATTTTTGTTGATTTATTTTTAGATTCAAAACATGACTAACACTGAAAAAGGAAATATGACTCAAATTTCTGAAATCATCCTTTTGGGTTTTGGGAGTCTTCATGGCATTCAATTTCTTCTTTTTGGTATATTTCTGGCAATTTATGTGATGACTCTTATGGGTAACATTTTGATCCTAACTGTGGTGTCAGCTGATAGCTCCCTTCACACCCCTATGTATTTCTTTCTTGGTCACTTTTCATTCCTCGAGATTGGCTATACCACTACCATTGAACCCATATTGCTCCGGACATTTCTGTCAGCTCATGTGTCGATTTCTTTCTCAGCCTGTGCTTGTCAGTTTTATTTTTTTGCTTCCCTGGTGGCTACCGAATGCTTTTTCCTGGCTGTAATGTCTTATGATCGCTACATAGCCATCTGTAACCCTCTGCATTACTCCAGCATCATGGTTTTCTGGAGTTGCTTCCAACTAGCTGCTGCCTCTTGGATGGCTGGATTTCTAGCACCCATCCTTCTCATGGTCTTTATTTTTCGTTTAACATTCTGCTCTGACAATAAGATTGACCATTTCTTCTGTGATTTGAAGCCCATCATGAAACTGGCCTGCACTGATACTGAAGTGGCTGAGATGACTTCTTTTATATGTACTTCTTTATTTGCCCTTGGCCCCTTCCTGCTAACCATAGCTTCCTATATTTACATCATCTCCACCATTCTGAAGATTCCTTCTGCCACAGGTAAGCGGCGGGCTTTTTCCACCTGTTCTTCCCACTTGACAGTCGTCAGTCTCTATTATGGGACACTGGGAATTGTTTATGGCTTCCCATTAGGACCTCAGTATGAAGGTGTATTAAAGTTGCTTTCCCTTCTGTATACAGTGCTTACCCCTGCCCTCAATCCTGTGATTTATACACTAAGGAACAACGATGTGAAAGTAGCACTGAGAAAATTGGCACAATATAGGATATAGACTTGGTCGAAAAAATGTTTGGAAGTTTTAGTGGCTCTTGGAACTTGCTAAGATCCCCAACGAATTGGAAACATTTCTATAGTGTCAACAATTGTTTGTAAGGAATGCATGTGTAACTAAGGGCAACTCATTGGGAAGTACACAAAACAGAAAAATATCATTGTGGATAATGTTCCTTAGGAGAATATGGCTTAGAAATGTAATGTGATTTGAGTCTGAGTGTCTCTCATTCCTTCAACAAGACTTGCTAAAAAAAAAAAGAGTGAGATAAAATTGTCAAGAAATTAAAATTAGATCCAGTTTTACTTTTAGGATTATTTGTAAGAACCATCTTACTGGCTCAATAAAATAACTCACACCCAGAGACTGGAATAAAATACATTCAGAAACAAAAAAAAAATAGAGGCAGCAGAAAACAGCAAATTAAATACCTTGGGTGGTATGCAAGTGTGCATTGATGTACTAATTAAAGTAGATTTAGGGGAGAACTCAGTGTAATATCTTAGAAAGGCAAATTCATAGTTCAACAATATAAACACCAGAGTACTTGTATGTGAATGGAGTAAGGAGAGGTCAAAGGGAGGGACTTAGACAAATGAAGAGAAGAGGGAGAATGCAGTTAAAATTCAATGTGTGTACTACAAAACTAAAAAATGTGAGGGAAGAGGCTAGTTGGGAGGGATGGATGTGAAAGTTGAAAGGGGTGAAATTGATCAAGATGCATTGTATTCGTAAACTGCTTTGTTGAATAGCAACACCCTTGCACAACTGAAGTAAGCCAGGCCCAAAGAAACATAGGTCCCATTGTTTCCCTTATTTGCAATAACTAGTATATGTCTAGGACAAGCAGAAAAGGTCAAAAGCTATGTACATATGACCATATAAGATGATGCTAAGCAAAATGAACCCCAAGATAGGGACACAAGAGATTTTATCTTTGCTGTTGTTGTTTTTAATGTACTTAAAACGTACTATGTGATTTTTTTTGTTTCTCTTGTATGTTCTCCCCCCCCCCCCACATAGTATAATCTGTTTTCACTGTATTTGATTCCAGTGTACTGCATCTTGTATATACATTTTTCTAATTTGGGAAGGAGAAGGGATATAACAAAATGCTGAAATAAGGATACAAATTGACCTATTGTAGAAATGAGATGTACAAGACACGATGTTGAAAATGAGCTTTACAACTTCTAGGTGGAGGGTGGAGAGGGGAAACAAGTGGTAGGGAGGTGGGTAGGGAAGGGACGGTAGGGGAAAAACAAAGGAGGAGGTGACAATGCTAGATAGGAAATGTCTTCATTACCCTACTCATATAACTGTAATCCATCCTTCTGTACAGTATCTTTACAATAAAATATATACATATATTTTAAAAATAAGTAAATAAAAAAGAACAAGTGAGTGTTGTATGCGTTGACATATAGAATGCAGCACTATAGCTATATATAGATATAGATATGACAAAAACAAACTGTGGTCAGGCATCAGTGGCTCAACTTTATAATCCTAGCTATTCAGAAAGCTGAGACAGGTAGGATGGTTGTTAGGGTAGAAAAGACCCCATCTTTAAAATAGCCAGCAAAAAACAGGACTGGAAGCATGGTTCAAGTGGTAGAGCATAAGCCTAGTGTACAACCCTAAGTTCACATCCCAATACCACCAACAAAAGAGGAAATGTGGTATAGTGTGCCTAGTACAGCACCATTTGTGTAAAAATAAGGTAAAATATTATATACTTACTAGTAGATGTACAGCCTGTTCTAGGAAGATCAATATAAATTAGAGTACATCTTGTCTCTTGGTAAAGAAACTGAATTGTGAAAACGTACCCCTTTGAGGTAGAATTTATGTAAATAAATTCACTACTGAAAATCCATCAAAGTTTAACAAATCATTGAAAATTAAGCAAAAGGTAGAAAGAGCCTACCTTTATAAAGTATGATGGAAGTTGATCTAGATGTGTTTTTCCCTTCACAGGAAAATTATAAACTCTCTAGCTCTCTAAGAACAGGGACCTTGACACTTACTACCTCTATACTCCACTCCTTCCTCTGTGTCCTGAAGGTGTACAGCAGATACATTTGACTGAATTACTACTATAATTCAAGATAGGATAGCTCAGCATCTACTGAGCACAACAGTTGCAGCAACTTGACATGTTCCCATATCTAGAATAAAAAACCCAAGGTGGGAAAATACAAGCTGTACTTCAAATATTCTTAGTCCAGTATGACGCTACAACCATAAATTCCTGCAAGGGGCTGAAATGATGTAAGACAGTTTCCTAGGCTCTTCCTTACACTATTGTCAGATCAATCATTCTATAATGAAAACGCATCCAAATTCCTCCAGTGTTGTGACTTCTACCACAAGGATCTCCCTCCATCCCCAATAAAAAAAAATCTTTCCCTTTGTGATGCTATAACTTTGTACATGCTGTTTCAATTTTTCCTCTTCATCTCTTCTCCTGGGTTAATCCCTTTTCATCCTTCATTCATAAAATGTTAAGTGTCACAAATTTTGTGAAGTACTGTAATCCTTCATTGGTCCTTTAAAGCCAAGTCCTCTTTTCTCCTATGCTACTATGGGACTTTGCATCTATATTTACCTGATTATATTGTGCATAATGTTTGCATATGTATCTATACCTCAACCTAATAATGAATTCATGTAGCTAGCTATGTGTCTTACACGGTGCAGGTTTTTACCTGTTTAAATTAAAGGTTAGAATATATATCTTCTGAATAGTTCTAGTTTGAAGAGACTGACATTTCTCTTGGGGACAAATTTGACAATAAAATTCGTGGTAAGATATGAATATTGAGAAGTTCCTCTTAGAATCAACGACCAACATTTCTTTGAATCCTGGGAAAGTGACTATAAATAATTCACTCATCCATGTTGGATCATTTGCTAAATATAATTTTAATACATAAATATGTTACTATGAACTTAAGCATAAATTCTTCATAAGTACATAGCACATTTCTAGCTAAAAGAGAAGGCCTATATGAATCTATCTTGTAAACTCTTCAGTCTAACCACTGGACCATCTGTCTGTACAATATATCCACAGAGCTGGAACCTAGTTAATATTTGTTCAACTCAGCCAAGGAAAGGTGGAGTAGCCTGACCTCCTGGGAATATCATTGTCCTCTGAAGAGGAGATCTTCAAGTTTTAACACTCATATCATCAACTCTGAAGTTACAGGTCTTAGAGATGTGTGAGGGTGGAATATACTAGAGGAAAAGAAGCATGGCAGAGAAGGGGAAGAATATGTCCACCTGAAAAGTTTGAATCATTGCTTCCTTCACAGAGCAAATGCCATCTGCCAATGACAAGGCAACTGGTCCATGGAGAGCAGCAATTAGAGCTAATTGGGTTTCTTCATTTTAATACCTGAGACAGGGCCCTATAGAGATCAAGTAAGAAGACTTATTAAAGGCAAACTGTTATATGCATTCCATTTAATTCAAAATACTTAGGGAGAATGATTATGTGCCATGTTCTCTGAGTATAACCAAAGCTCAAGTGGTGATTTATAGAAGTTTAGAGACTTAAGTTCTTTCCATCTATTTGTTTATTTGCTTATTTCTTTTATATATACTATTAGTCTACACTAGCTGTTCAAATGGGTTTCATTGTGGTATTTTCATGCATGCCGACAATGCAGTTTGACCAAATTTGTCCACTAGATTACTCTAGCCCACCCTCTTCCCCACTTTGAAAAGTAATTTTTACAGCTTTCACTGTTCTATTTTTATATATGCATATAAAATACTTTGACCATATTCACTTGTCTTCATTCTCGCCTTTTGCCTCTCCTCTCTCACTTGTATTCAAATAGAACCTGCCTGTTAAGCTGGAATTCAGATAAATTATCAGGTTAAAACCCTTAGCATATAAAGACAATGCAATGAGAAAGGGGAGGTCACAGTTCAATCTGGCCTATATGAAGCCAAACTGCATAAAAAACAAGAACTGAAATAAACATGTATCTTTAGGGGCACTACATATGAAATGTTGTTCAGTGTCCAATTGTATTTTTTGCTACCTGGAAGAGTTCAAGTAAACTTGCAACTCAGATTAGTTTGTGATTGAACTTAGACAAGCAACTTAGCCTCCCTAATTTAAGGTCTCCTGTATAATACTACTGTATATTACTATTTATTTATCTTAAAAAACTCCTAGGAGGATCAAGAGAACACATGCAAGATTATTGGTACAATAAATATATTCAGTACATATTAATTAATACTTTAATAGTTATTACTATCATCATTGGTAGGCACCATGAGCCCTTTTCTGGAACAGGGAGGTATCTGAATAATTGAGAACTTGACTGACAACTGAAAGCAAATGCTAGAAAAATCGGGGTCAAGTTTCTAAGGCTTCTCAGTTTTGCCTGGGTCTCAGTTTACTGTTGTTGTGGGTAGGTAAAATACAAATTCATCATCAACACTTTTTTTCTCTGGTTAACTAAGTTGCGTTGTGGAAACTTTGTGTCCTATAGTCCCACATCTGTCTTTTAACTGCAGTTCAAATAATATCACCAGACTAGATCCACCTTAATTTCTGCAAAAATATTGTTTTATTGTTTCTTTACTTAATTCCTTGTTTTTCTTCCATAAGAAAGAAACACATTATTACCACCCTTCTGACAGCAACTAGTATGAAAATTAAGCAAAGGAGGTGCTTCAAAAAAGGCTATGGAGGAATAGACGTTTCAAACTTCCAAGAATTTGACCTATACCAGTCAAACTTTATCATGTATCATTGTACTCTGTGTGCTCTGTCCAACTAGTACACTACTTGAATTTCTTGAATTTGTAAACAATTTCTATGCCTTACACTATGTGACTATGGTCTTCCCTCTGCTTGGAATCAGAACTTGATATAATAGGATCCTTCTTATTCTTCTGCTGTCTTCTTAAATTCGATATTGGATATAGGTATTTTCTGGTGACCTTATATAATTTCTAAACCTACAGCATCA